TGATGATGATGATGATAGATGCTGCTGCTGATGTTGGTGCTGATGTTGGTGCTAATGCCGATGCTGATGCTGATTATGATGATGCTGATGCTGATGCTGGTGCTGGTGCTGACGCTGATGCTCATACTGATGCTCATGCTGATACCGCTGCTGCTGCTGATGATGATGATGATGAGGAGGAGGAGGAGGATGATGATGATGACGAGGAGGAGGAGAAGGAGGAGGAGGAGGCAGGAGGAGGGGGAGGAGGAGGGAGGGGGGTCAGGACAAGCTAGGTGCGCCAGCGGCATATCTGACGTCCTACCCCTCCTTCCCATCCCTTACCACGGCGTATATCTGCTATGAATTCGCACAGTCGGATGTCGAGCAGGGCAATGATGACAAGAGGGTGCGCAATGGATGGAAAAGCATGGCGTAGAAGAGCATGGCAGATCTTAGCATGTCATAGCATGCATGGGGTGGCATTGCGTAATGAAGCAGTGCATCACACGGCATAGCAACGACGCATGGCATCGCACAGCGGTGCACAGCACATCGTCAAGTGGCCCGTCTACGAGAGGGCAGGGCCTGTCGGGAATGCCGGCTCCTCGTCCTCTCTACCCGATGTGGGTGCTTTCGAATGCCAAGTGCCGTCCGGTAGGAGAACTGTACACCTTAGGCGATGCTTAAGAAAACTTAAATTTTCGGCCAGAGTCTCGATTATTCTTAATGCTTCAATGTAAGTCCTAATGTTTTAATAGAAATTTTGGGTTTTAATCCAAGTTCTGAGACTATGAATTTCTTAACCCATGATTTCTTAACCATTTCGCAGGGTGTAATCTTTGAGCCGAGCATTTTCCTTGGGTGGAGGGCAAAGGGTGAAATCTGAGATGCCGCTTCGATTGGTGTTCGAGGCTGGAATCTGCGAAGGGTGAATCACACGACGGATTGATTCGCGAGGTGCAAAAGTCCATATGGATTTCACCCTCAGCCCTCCACCCTGAGAAAATGCTCAGTTGAAGCCCCCCTCTCTTTCGACACGCTGCAGCGCGTTCCCCGGACCCCCATCCAAGTCTCCCTAGGCTCCCCGGAGCTCCGGGAGCGCAGGGGGACCGGCGGGAACGAGACCAGCGCTGCTGCGGGAGCACGATTTTCAAGGACCGAAGCGCAGAAATTAGGGCGACGCTGCAGCAGGAACATCATTGTGGAAGGGCCGGATACCACCGGATTGAAAGCACACGTAGGACAAACAAAATTATGACATCATTTTGAGTGTGTGTGTGTGTGTGTGAAAGCATACGCGGAGAGGACGGGAGACTCTCCGGACAGAGTCAGGGGAGAGAGGAGAGTAGTATTCATATTGTGTAATTGTGGAGGGGGAGGAAGACGAGGAGCGCAAGACGAGAAGGAGGATGAGGAAGAGGAGGATGTCGAGGAAGAGAAGGGAGTGCGAGGTGGAGGTGCATGAGGAGGATGGGTGAGGCAGGTTTGGGCTATCTTGGGGCTATCTTGGGAGTGCTCGTGGAGGCTATTGGTGCGTCTTGGAGGCCAATGGGCTGTCTGGAGGCCATCTTTGGCGTCTATGACTCATCGTTCGACGATTCGGGACCCTCTTGGGCCGTCTTGGGAGCATCTCGGGGCATTCTTGGCCCGTCTTCTGGCTTGTCTGGCCTGGGGACCACCCAGGGGGATGGTATTCTGACCCCGGACCCCCTTCCAGGACCCCCCCCCGTTGGGGGGAGGGGATCAAAGGGAAGGGGCTTCCCTCGGGTCACCTACGACTTTACTCAAGTTCGATTTGGTTCCGCTTTGTTGGCGCGCTTCACGTTTCGGTTCGGTTTCGCTGTGGCTGGCGCGCTGGAGGAGGAGGACCCAGTGACTTCGACCACGGCGACCACGGCGACGACGACGGCGACGATGACGACGACGACGAGTCAAACTGAACGACGACGACGACCACACGGTTTTCGACGACGACGACGAGTTAGACAGCGTTTTCCGTAGTCCTGGGTTGATTCAGGTCCTCCTCCTCCTTCCCCTGTCTCTTCCTCTTCCTCCATCTCTGTCCTTCCCCCTCCCTCATCTTCTTCTTCTTGTTCTTCTTCTTCTTGTTCTTCTTCTTCTTCTTCCATCACCCTCCAACTACCCTTCCTCCTAACCTCCTCCCTCCACCTCCCTCCGCGTCCCCCTCCTCCTCCTCCTCCTCCTCCTCCTGCTTCTCCTCCTCCACAGGATGCCCCATCGGAGTACTGATCGCCCCTCCTCTCCCGAGAGTGCGCAGCCGTGGCCCCGCCCCTCCTGCGCGTGCTGTCCACGCCGGAATCCACAAGCTGACGTTGTGTGTGTATATATATGTATGTATGTATGTGTGTGTGCGCTTCGATTGTAACGGTTTTGGCCTTTGAACCAGTGGTACTGCCGCTTCAGCTATGGCCACAGTTCAGGATCTGTACTGTTATCCCGGCTTCAGACTGGCGCTCTCGCTGCAGCGCGGGCCGCATTCCTGCATCCGATTCCTGCCTCGTCGAGATGCCGTTCCCCTCCTTTCCTCTCCTCCGTCTTCCATCCATCATCCTGCTTCTCGTGCTCCTAGTCCTGCTCCTGGTCCTCCTCCCGCATCCTCCTGCTCCTCCTTATCCTGCTCATTTCTTTCATTCCCCCTCCTGCTGCTGCTGCTCCTCCTCCTACCCCCGAAACGATGTGCTCTGCTCCTCCTCCTCCGTACGAGTGCGCAGTAAACGATGTGTCAATTCCTGCGACTTCATTTTTGTATCAAGGTCCTCTAGGACACCCCCGTCGGCGGATAGGAAGCGAACGAACGCAATGGGAAGGGATGAGTGGGTTGGGCTGGATGTCAGACGTGGCGCGAGAGCTCGCCTCCTCCTCTCATCCCTCTTCCTTCTCCTCCCCCGAATACCTCCTGCTCCTCCTCCTCTCTCCCGCCCTCCATCCCTCCATCCCTCCTCCTCCACTTCCTCTCTCTTGCCCTCCCTGTGTACGCGGGGCTCCCTCCCACTCTCCACCTTCCCTCCTGTCTCCCGCGCGCGCGGGGAAATGGAGTTTGTGGTTGTTGTTGTTGATGTTGGTGGTGGCGGAGGTGGTATTGTGATTGCTGCTGCTGCTGTTGTTGTTGGTGGTGGTGTTGGACGTTTTGGTGTTGTAGATGATGATGATGGTGATGACGACGGCGGTAAACATGACGATGAGCATGGCAAATAATATACGAATTAAGTTGTTGATGGTGGTGATGGGTGAGATGATGATGACGATGATGATCCTGATCTGGGTTTCATGATTGTGATAACGCTGCTCATCATCATGATGTTGCTGATGGTGGTGATGCAGCTGATGCTGTTGATGACGACAATGATGATGATGATGACGATGATGATGATGATGACGATGATGATGATGATGATGATGCTGATGATGATGATGATGGTGGTGGTGGTGGTGAGTATGATGATGCTGATGATGATTATGATGGCGCTGATGATGATGATACGGATGCTAATGCTGATGCTGATCATGATGCTGATGCTGCTGCTGCTGATGATGATGCTGATGATGATGCGACGACGGCGAGGACGAGGACGAGGAGGAGGGCGAGGACGAAAACGAAGGCGACGACAAGGACAATGGTGATGATATCGATGCTGATGATCATGATGATGGTTGGGGTGGTGGTGGTGGTGGTGGTGGTGAGATGGTGACTTAGATGACGACGACGACGATGCTGATGCTGCTGCTGATGATGACGCTGATGATGATGGTGATGATGATGCTGATGATGATGATGACGATGGTGAGGATGATGATGATGATGATGATGATGGTGGTGGTGGTGGTGGTGATGGTGATGATGATGATGATGATGATGATGATGACCATGATGATGATGATGATGATGATGATGATGATGATGATGATGATGATGATGATGATGATGATGATGCTGATGATGATGATGATGATGATGATGATGCTGCTGCTGATGATGATGATGATGATGATGATGATGATGATGATGATGATGATGATGATGATGATGATGATGATGATGATGATGGATGATGATGGTGGTGGTGGTGGTGGTGGTGGTGGTGGTGGTGGTGATGATGATGATGATGATGATGATGATGATGATGATGATGATGATGATGATGATGATGATGATGATGAGGAGGAGGAGGAGGAGGTGGAGGTGGAGGAGGAGGAGGAGGAGGAGGAGGAGGAGGAGGAGGAGGAGTTGTATGCTGTTGTTGGTGGTGATAGCGATGGCGTTGGTGATGACGAGGCGGGGCAGATGATCGAACATCGAGAGTGGCCATCTGGAGGGGGGGTCCTCGTCGCCACGGTCGGATTCGCCCCGAATTCCTATACCCAGGTCTACGGTTCGATCGTGCGAGGCTGGTGCGGGAGGTGGAGGAGGAGGATCTTCTTTCGGCCTTGCAGGCTTACTTACGCCGCATCCACTGACCTTGCTGTCCAAGAGTGTTCCAGTTACGATGCGCCTGCCGTTGCAGCTGCGAAGGCATCTGCTAAGGCTGTTGCAGCGATGGGTCAGACGCTGGTGACTGGGACTTGGGGTTCTTCCCCTCCTCTGTTTGGTGCGGCTGCCTCCGACCGTGCAGTGGGGAATAGTTCGAGGGGGTTCGGGCAGCACCCATGTTGTTGTCCACTCGTTCCTTTGCGCCTGTGCTCTGAAGTTCTGGGTCTTCCCCTGTGCGTCCGTGCCCTCGTCGCAGCTTTTCCACGTCCCCGCATCCTGAGTGGCGTTTCCCAGAACCCAGTGGGTTCCTGAGACAGCACATGATGTCGGTGCTTCAGTTCGGCAACGTTGGGTCCTGGGGGAGAAGGAGGGAGGAAGAGTTTGAGGAGGCTTTTGGCGGAACCACTGCCGTTCCAAGACTCGCTGGAGGATGTCCGAAGGCTGTCTGGGCGCCTGGGCGGCGCCTTGGGCCGTCTTTGGGGCTGTCTCCGCGTCGCCCTGGGTCTTTCTGGGGCCGTCTTGGGCTTGTAGCCGCGCTGGCTCAAGCGCGGTGTGGCCCGAGAGTGAGCGGTTGCTCGGAATCAGGCGGTCGTAAACATGGATCAAGGGGGCGTGGTTTGCGACGGGTCCCGTTTCCATGGGAAATCGCGGATTTCCGCCGCCGAGCGAGGCGGCACCGGCCGCATTTTTGGTAGGGCACCTCCCCCGATCCATGGATTTGGCGACCGCGCGCCAAATCCATGGATCGCTAGTCCATGTTTGCGCGCCCCCGACAGAACAGCCCAGCCGGTGCACACCGCTCCAGGACATGAGCGAACGACACGAGTAGAGCAGTCTCATGCACAGTGGCCGTGGCGTCAGAGCTTTAGGCCACTGCCTGGCCGACGGAACCATTATTGTCGTCAAGAACTGCTCTGTGGAGGTGGAGGAGGAGAGCGTCGATTCTGGGCTCAACCGCAGCAGTAGTGACGGTGATCTTCGGTGCGCAGTTGGGGGACCCCTTGATCGCGATCACGCAGCAGGAAGGCTTGCGCACGCAGACGACGGTCACACTGGCAGCACAATTGGGAGCACCACAGGCCATGAACCGCTGCCAGTCTCGCCGGAAGGTGACGCTTGCTCCTGGGGAGAATTCAGCGACTGCAGCCGATTCAATCTCAGCGGGTGCTCCGGGTACGACAGTCAGGACGAGAGCTGCGGAAGCTCCAGCTTGGCCTCTGGCAGCTCCCAGTCCGCGTGCCGCAGTCCTTTGCCTGGGGAGCAGTCAAAGGCAGAATGGCTGAGAGCCAAGGAGTTCGGATGCAACTTCTGGGATGTCAAATTCTAATTTCGCCTTGGCCCAAAATCCGGCTTTATCCCGCTGAATTTCGGCTCAATCCCGTATCATCTGGCCAGATCCCCGCTCATTCCGCGGCCCACTCCGGCGTAGCAGCCCCCCAGTGGAGTTCAATCCTTCCTAATCCTCCCTTCGAAGACCTCCCAGTAGTTGCCTCCCAAAAGGAGAAGCAGCACGCCGCTGGCACCTGCAAGCCGTGCCTATATTTCAATACGAGGGTGGGCTGCACGCAGGGCCTGCAGTGCAGCTTCTGCCACCTGTCGCACGAGCGTAAGCTCGGGGGTGGCAACGAGGGGGGTGATGACTGGGGGGGTTGAAATCATGGCGGTGGCCATGACATCTCCTTAGATTTCATGGCCCTTCCTGGTATTTCGATGCGTCCTCGGCACGCCCCTGGGCCGCGCACGTGCCACCAGCCATGATTTGTGCCGCCCCCTCTTGGACGCCCCCCCTCTTGGACGCCCCCGATAAGCACACGGCGCGACCGTGCAGGTCCGCCAGGCTGCAGTGCAAGCGACTGCTGGCGCAGCTGGGCAGCGGCGAGCCCGAGGGCGGTGCGACTGCCGCGCGGGAGCTGGCCGGGGATGGCCGCTGCGGCGCAGTGATAAGGTTCGGACGGAGCCAGGACAAATCACGACGGTACGTTTTTTCTGTGTTTTCGGCCTGTGGGGGCCCTGATGGGGAGGAGGAGGAGGAGGAGGAGGAGGAGGAGGAGGAGGAGGAGGAGGAGGCGGCCGTCAAACAACGACTCAGGATGCGACACCGGTGCCAGGGAGTGGGTCGAGACCTCTGGGCCCCCACGTGATGAAATAATCATGGCGTCGGGGGCCTGGGGACGAGGGCCCATCCGATCCAGAGCGTTTCGGGACGCCCTCAGAGCGTTCGAAGGCCACGGCGCCCGAGACGCCTTCCAAAGCCGCTGGATCTAAGAAATTCTCGATGTCTCCTCCTCCGATGTTTCAAGCAGTGGCGAAGCGTCCTGGCTCGCCCACAGGCCCACCAAAGAATGTTCGAAAACCCTTTTGTGGTCTGCACGACATGTTCTTGGAACGTTACTGGCCGAGACTGTCTTAGTTTAACACATCGGGCGTATGTTCTAAGAACGCATTGTTTTTGTTCTCAGAGCATTTCTGGGTTCTGGGAACATTTCGTGGTAGGCCTATGGGAATGCCGGGACGGTCTGTCCCTGCTCAAACGTTCGTAGGGGGCCACATGCGAACCCTACCGCTACCCCCCACCATTTCGGAGATGGAGGGTGGGGTTCGCTTCGCTCGGAAGCTCTCGAACGAAGTGACCCCCACCCTCCCCCTCAGAGATCGTGGGGGTAGCGGTAGGCTTCGCACGTGGCTCCGTCTCCGAGGTCCGCCGTGCGCGACGTGGACCAGCAATACATGCTCAGCCTCTGCGGGGCGCGCGGGGCGCGGAGGCCGCGGGGCTCCAGCGGCTCCAGCTTCCTGGGGCGCGGGAGCGGCAGCGCGGAGCGCGGGGCTGGCAGCGCGGGCTCGGCCTCTTCGGGGGCCGGCTGACCCCGGGGCGGTGGGCGGCCCGCCGTAGCCGCCCCCGCCTTCGGGCGAGCGCGGAGCGCAGGCCGCGCACGGGGGGGGGTCCTTCTTGCCTGTGGCGCGCTCACACGACGGGGAGCTGCACGGGCTTGGCGTCGCTCGGACGTAAAACGACGCGAAGATCGGGACAAAATCGGATCGGGATAACTCGAAATCTCTGAGAATCGGCGGGTTTGGAGGATGTATTGGGCGCCGCGGCCGCTCCAGAGCGTTCCGGAACGCTCTGAGAGCGCTCCGGCACGCTCTGGTGCGATTTATCCCGATCTTAGCCCTGCTTTAGGACGTGCGCATTCCTCCTTCGGCGAGGGCCATCGAGGAGCATCCTCGATGAGTTGGCGAAGGCCACGCGCGACACCGACAAAAACAGCACAGGGAGTGGACGTCCGAGCGAGGGCCAGCAGGCCCACCTCCACAGGCGCTTCCACAGGGGTGGGGGGCGCCCCGAGCACTCGTGTGGATTTTCATGCCGCATGGCTGCAACCACCCGGCACGGCGCCACGGGCCCTGTGGCGCGGGCGTTCCAGACCAGCGGCAGCTGCTGCAGCGTTGGGTTTTTATGGAAGTTCTGCGACTATGAATTTCTTAACCCATGATTTCTTAAGCATTTCGCAGGGTGTATCCGATCAGCTGACCACATAGCAGTGAGTCGGCGCGGGCGCTATTCTTTCATTCGCACGCGAGGACGTCCTCGGGACGTCCTCGCACGTACGGGTGGCGCATCGGGTGCATGCAGCCAGGGGAGAGGAGAGAGGATGAGTAGGAGGAGGATGAGGAGGAAGAGGAGGAGGAGAAGGAGGAGGCGGGAGGAGATTGAGCAGCGCTTCTGCCCGAGCCAGCCCCTTCGAGCCGGCTTCAACTGGAGGCCGGCCCGAGGCTGCAGTGTGGCCCAGGGACAGCCGGGCCGCGGGATGCCCCCGTAGAGCCTGGACAGGGCTGGGTTTTGCCAGTCTTCGTATTGCAGGGTATGCCGCGCCCTTGCTGTGCTTCGGGTCTGTTTCGCAGCGCTGGTGTTCCTAGTTGGGCGCGATTGGCGAGTCCTTGCCGGAACCCTCCTTGCAGGACCGCAAACAGCCGTCCTCGTAGCATCGCCGGGCAGCAGCCCGATTTGTGCAGTGCGACTCGCCCACGGGCGAACCTGCTTGCCCGATGTGCGCTCTGGTCGGGGACTCACCGCCCACCAACCCACCCCAACCCAACCCGAAGGCCCCGATTTGCCATCCATTTCCAGTGGGGGGGGTCGGGGACCCTCGAAGAAACACGTATGGAACCCATGCCCCCCCCAACCCGAAATTCGGGTCTTCGGGTTGGGTTGGGGTGGTCTGGTAGGTAGTCAGGGACGCTGGTCGAGAGGCCACGACGAGAGGGAGGCGGAGGAGGAGGAGGAGGAGGAGGAGGAGGAGGAGGAGGAGGAGGAGGAGGAGGAGGAGGAGGAGGAGGAGAGAGGAGGAGGAGGAGGAGGAGGAGGAGGAGGGGGAGGAGGAGGAGGAGGAGGAGGAGGAGGAGGAGGAGGAGGGGGAGGGGGCAGGGAGCGGAGCGTCGGAAGGATGGGGTGGGGGGCATCGGCTTTGGCCCTTCGAGTGCGCGCCAGGGGGTGTGCCGTCCGCCGTGGGCGGGCCCTGTGGCAGTCTTTGGGCTCGTCTTGCTTTCCTCGCTGTTATTGTTCAGGAGGGGATCGTTCTTACTGTTATTGTTATTGTTATTGTTTACTACGGGGGATCAGAAGGGGACCCCTTGTTTCCTCGCTGTTATTGTTATTGTTATTGTTCAGACACAATTAATCGTTGATCCCCAGGAAAATATAGGAAAATATGGGAAGTGGGGGGGAAGACAAAAACCTAGAAAATATACGAAAGTAGGGGGATTTTGTTTATTTGTGTGTATTTATTTGTGTGTCCCAGTTCCCCTTCAGTTGTTATTGTCCACTGTTGGCAGGCGCGCGGGAAGGTCGCTCGGGTTGCCATCGGACTGTTGCAAGCAGCGAGCAGCACGAACATACACCTTCTGAGGTCGGGGGGGGGGGTGCAAGGGAGCCTGGCGTCATTGCCGCGCCCAGGTTCCGAATCGACTGGATGTCGATTCCGCTTCTGGCTCAGATGCCAAGGTTCTGGCATGCAGCTGTTTCGTTTGTTTACCCAGTGTAGCGGGTACCAATAACACAACATTGACATTCACCTGAAAATAGCGGGCGACCTAGTGGGCGTCTAGGTTGATATGTGGTAGAGCCCAATGCGCCATTTCCAGCAGCTGTGAGGGCGGGTGATGCACTCTTACTTTGACGTATGGTTCCATGCGATTTGCTTTGGTGTTGCTTTCAATCGTGTCGACAGCGCGGGACGCGCACATAACAACAAAACGCACGAACTTTGCGAGGTCTATGATCTGGATTTCTGGCCCCTGGGCCATGCGGAGGGCGCTGTCCGACCCCGTCCACTGACCCCGCTGGGCCCGCGGAGCCCGCGTGTCTGGTGCTCTCGGCGACGGAGGGCGCTGTGCGGCAGCCAAAGGGTGCAGCAGATCAGGTACCGCTGCGTCTCGCAGGCCGTATCAGCAGGCCAGCTAGCAGCTGCCGTATCACAGACTCGGGTATATCCGATCAGCAGTTTATGTAGCAATGTGTCAGCGAGCGCGCTATTGCTTCATTCGCACGTGAGGACTCCCTCGCGCGCAAAGGTGACGGATCGGGTGTATCCAATCACGGGAGAGAAGGGATAATGAGTGGGAGGGGGAGGTGCCGCCCCACTAAGGAGCCCAGCTACCAACGACCTACGCCGACGCGACCGCGCAAGGGGCTGCGGGGCGACGCCGGAGCAAGAGTGGGCGATCCACCCGCCAAGCATGCGCAGGATCAAGCCCGCAGGCGGACCTTGGATACCCCCCCAGGCCGCCAGCGCCACCAAACCGAGCGAGCACAAAGCAAGTAGAGCGATCCCGACGCATCAGGAATGGGGAAGCTATTCGAACAGTTGCAGACGCTCGAGCAACGCGGAGGGACCATGGAGAGCACCCCTGGACCTTTTTGGGCATGATAGTGGCCCATCTCGGAAGGCGACGGCGGCCCGTGTGGCGCCGCTCGCTAGACCCACCAACCGACGCCATGAGCGACAACGACAGTTCAGGCTGAGTCTATCTGGGAGCCAGCCCCAGGGGGACCTCTCGCTTCCAGGCCCCTTGACACTTGGTGCGGAGCATAGAGCCGGAGTCGCCGCGTGAACGGGATACCTCGGCGAGCAGCCAGAACAAGGATCCGAAGGGGAATGGAAGCCACGCCTGCACCCCGCAACTCCAGTGAGGAACGAGTCTCAGAAGTAGGCAACATGTACTCCAGAGAGACCTACTCCCACGACAACCGGGCACCCGACTGGCCATTTTGGTTCAGAGGCGGGACGGAGAGGCCTGCCTTTACGCCTTTTGCGAGGCAAGCCCGTCCACCCGAGGCGGCCAAATTCACTGCGCACATGCACCGAGCAGGGCGACGAACAACTTCACACTTGTCGGACAGTCCCTAGACTCGGACCCACACAACCAAGCACCCACCGCGACGCACAACTGGAGGTCCGATTGCTGGTGACAGCATCGGCGACATCGAAGATACCTTCCTGGGCCGCCCAAGCTAGCAACCGCGCAGCAGCAAAGGCGCACCGCCTTTCATCGACGCCGCAGCTACAGCAATGCAGCGACGCAAAGCACGACACAGACGGCGAATGCGACGCGAGAGTCGTTCCGAACCCTCCTTGACGCCCAAGACTCCCATGGCCACAGCTAGCCGCTTCGCGCCACTCATTGACGATGAGCTGCCACCAACGCACCCAACCCCTACCGTTACAATGCCGGCAGCCCTGACAGCACCCCGCGGGCGCCCAAATATGCGCGCACCACCACCGCCAACATCGACAAACCGTTCAATTGAACGCCCGTGGGGATCGACCCTCGTCATGCGACGCACGGACCAGCAGGGCGGCGGTAGGAACGCGGGGGCAATGACAATTGGTGCGTCTAGACACGGCGATGGGCAGACCGACGCGCAGAACGACGTCGCCCAGAGCCACAAGGAGACGCAACCAGCCATGCTACCCTTCAGACAACCACCGAAACGCTTGGGCGTTGCAGGCATGAGCGCTACAACGCATGCGACAAAGCATGACGACGCTGCGCAGGAGCATCGCCATGCCCGCCACAAAAAGAGCGCAGCGATGCACCCACTCCGTAGAATTAGAGCAAACGCGACCACCAACAACCAGACACCTAAACCAGACACTGCAACCGACCAAGCCAGCGACTACAGCGAAGGCTACCAGCGTTGCGAAGGTAAGTGGCAGAGAAGAGGCAATCGCAGGAGGCCTGACAGGCACCTGCGATCGACGACTTCGACCCAGCAGACCACGGCCAACGAGGAGCAGACAAGAGACGCACGCATCGGGGAACACATTCTTACCGACGCAGCTCCAGAAGCACGTGCGCGCACTGAAGTTGCATCGCGACTTGGGGGGCCACGACCTACGCGCGTACGCCCGTGCGGCAGTGGGGCAGCTGGCACCGAGCCGAGCTATGGGTGCGGCGAAGAGACGCTACTACTTCACCGATGAGTCATATCACGCCAGCGCCCCCAGCATCTCAGCGTGGGCAGTGGTTCACCTGCGACAAGATGGGCGCGGCGTTGCCCGCTGCCGACGCGCGCGCTCGAACCGCGCGCTTTCGGCCAGCAGGGATATGGCCGATCGTATCATCCAGGGCAAGCCCTGAGCTTGGAGCGGTCCCGTGGGCGGTTGCCGCTAGCATTTTTGGAAGACGGCAGCGAGGATATCATCATTGTCGGCGACTGCGCGGCGGCCTTGCGATCAGCAGCTGGAATGAAATAAATTTCATCAACAAAGAATAGCGCTTGCACGGTTTGCCGGGGTCCTCGTCGAGCAGCTCAGCCGCGAGAAGAAAATGAGTTTCGAGCGCGCCAACGCCCGCGAAGACGCTCCGTGGAACGAGGCAGCGGACGTGCTGGCCAACGCGCGGCGCTGCAACCGCCGCCGCAGCCGCCAAACGCCGCCGTAGTGGGCCTCATAAAGTGCAACAGCGAGCTGGAGTGGGCCTGGGTGGAGAACCCCACGCGTCGGGACTTGCGCGCCTATCCGCGCAGAAGACAGGGGAATTTCGAGGAGGTTGTCAAACCGCAAGTCACGAACGTGGACCACATGCCAGACCTGGCGGCAGACATCTACAGCAAAGGCTCCATGAAGGTCAACGCAGCGCAGTGCAACGCGCAGTCGATGGCCGGAGACTTCGCCGAGACTGACTTACACCTGGACACCCCCACCAAGGGCGCACTAGTAGGAGCACAACTCGCCGAGCGCAAAGTGCACATCGCCGGCCTGCAAGAGACGAGGTGTAAGGAGGCAATCTGGACGGGGCGGGTTCTATCAATGCACGGAGCAGCTCTGCGGGCGGCAACCGGGGCTGCGCGCTGCTCCTGAATGCCGAGATCCCCTACTTGCAGCTCAAGGGCAACGAGCAATACTTCAAGCAGTCGCAGCTTGCGAGGCTGCGCTCCACGGCCAGGATGCCATTTGTAAGAATATAAGAACCTCTAATCCAGCGCGTCATCGCAGTGGCCAATGCGCCATATCAAACAGCGAAAGACCTCAGTGGCTGGCGGGGGGAGTTCAGGGGGCAGTGCGACCAGTGAAAGCCAGACGTGCTCCTCATCGGCGCGAACGCACAGTTGAGCCGCGAGGGCGGCGGGGGCTCCGCGTGGACTG